TATGGAACGAGAGAAGTAGGGGCCAATTTTCAGCCATCCTGACCCGACAAGTTTCTCAAAAGATTTCTCGGAGATATTTAGAATCACTTCGGCAAACGGCAACTTTTGATTTGTACCACGTGACCAAGTATTCTCTTCACTTGTCATTTAGAGTCAATTACAGTTAATTTAGTAGTTTTATGTCAGTTTCATCCAAAACAAATTATGCTACTTAAATTGAGAAATTGTAAACCTGAATATCTCACGTTTGCCGTTTGTCTCAATAGAGCGGCTAAAACAAAATCTTTATTTGTCGGACCAAGCGAGAAATCCCGCGAGAGGCCCGCCATGACCACTCGGGTAGCCAATCAGAACACATAACATAACATAACATAACATAACATAACAGGATTCCCTTCATTTTGCCCATTCCCGGAGGAAGAAGGGGGGAAGCCAGCCATACGACAAACACGTTTCTGGTAATCTTCGCACCTACCCCTCCCCTAAGCCAACATTTTGCCCTAAGTGAGAAGTAAGTTTTAATGTTGACTTGGGGAAGGGGTAGGTAGGCAGTTTCCCAAGAAACGTACAATGATCCCACTGTGTTAACTTACTGGCAATAGTTGGTGATTCTGACGTGTTGATAGCACGCTTTACCAAAGACTCTTCATCGCCGAAACCCTCAAAGTACTCATGGTTGATACAATCGAATACAGTGACAACCATCTGGAAGAAATCGTCCAGGCTTTTAAGGACAACGCTGACGTTGAACGATGGGGGAAGCAGGGTGAAATTGCCGTTTGTACCAGCAAAGGAAAAGTTTCCGGATATGTTTTGCGTTCTCAGCTCGTTTAGGATCTTTAATCTGTCCTGTGGCGACTGTCCAGGAAGCGCCACAGAAAGCCAGTTACAAAAACGCTGAAAGGGAAAAATAGCGGATCTGTTAAAACCAAAAAGAAAGTACTGCAACAAAATTCAACTACGTATTCAAATCTTTACAACAGGTAACCTGCGGTCAGGCGGTCCTTCTTCCCTTCCCGCCGACGTTCGCGCTTTCCCTCCGAAAAAGAACGCCTGATCGCAAGCTATACAACAGAGAGCGTGAGAGACCATGAAAGACCGCGGGCGTAAAACAGTAGGTTGCGAGTAGCGCTCGACTTGATTCTCAGGCAGATGGCGTCCGAATCCATTTTCGTGAAGGTTCCGCAATACACGATTCTCGATCACGTACGTAACCAGGAAACGAGACACGACTGGAAGCTTACCTTTGAGCAGTGACAGCTTTAGTTATTAACACTTTACGCCCTCAGAGTGATCAACATCAAATTTCTCCTTACAATATCAATGCTTTGTAAAACAGAGCGGTCATGAGAATTATGGACATGATCACACAAGATGCATTTGCTTGATATTTTATCAACTTCTCCCCACTACTTCTGTAGGCAATGAATAGGGGCAACAAATGAGAATTCAAATTTTGATCTTAGGGTTTACAGGGTTAAGCACATACCTCTGGTATTGGCTGCTTCAGCATCTCAGTAAAATTCAAAACATTCTTGTGAATCATGTCTGAATTATTTACCCACCAGTGGGCAAATTCCCTGATCCGAGTTATATCAGACAGCTCGTTTTTAACCTAAAAAGGGAAATAACACGAATAGGAGAAAAAAAAGCTTAGAATTCCTGTTTCCATCAGCGTGACGATGCTGATCATAAATTTGTGTTCTGGAATCCTTACAGGTTTACATTATGTAAACTAGAAAGTGTTTCCCTAAAATGGCTTCAGTCAACACAATAAAACAGAATGCTGAGTTTCACGTTGTAGTCGTGCGGTGACGAAGTTGTCCATTTCGTAAACGGTCGCTACCAATTTTAAGACACTTGGAAAATTTTTGACCTGTTATTGAGAGTGTTTCTATTTAAGAGAAACTAAAGAAGATCGCAACTCTGGGTCCTACCCGGACTCTTCGTTTCCTAATCTCTCTCCCTTAACACTACACCACCAAAATTCCGAAAAATTAAGTACAAAAACTACCAAACTGTCTTTCTTAACTGATACATCAACAAAACGTGACCCTGGCCCTTTCCATAAATTTTAATGTGAAGTCAACTTGAGCTTCTACATCGCTCTTTCTAAGACTATTCAAAACCTTATAAATTGCAGTATTGTAACTTAATCCAAGGAATAATTTATAATACATCTATCATGACTTAAGGCTTGGTTACTAATGGTGGCATCGAACGTTAAAAATGGCAAAGACCGTTTACGAAAGGGAAATAGTGTTTTGAAAGTTATTTCCTGTCAGGCGAGTCGCAAACTAATTGCGCTCGTCTCGCCAAAGTTCGTATAGTTGTAGCCTTGTTAGCCGATCAGAAACGGAGAAATATTTTGCATGAATAATGATAATTAATAATAATAATAATAATAATAATAATGATAATAATAAAACTTTTACATAGCGTCTATATCATTAACTGTTCTAGGCGCTTATGATTACTGACTAATAAATATTAAAGTGTTCAAGTTTATTAATTCATTCTTCTCACCTGTTTCACGATATTCCGTGTCACATTGTTATCGGGGGTGTACAGGATCTTGCCTTTCAAGAACAAAGAAGCCAGTTGAACAAATCCCCTATCATACTGACCCTGTCCTGGGTTTCCGGTCACATTCCCCAATACTCGCACCATTCTGCCTACGTAACAGTTACACTGTGCAGCCTCTGTAAACGAATTAACAATACTCGCATTAAAGATCATGAGCAACTGTGTTGGTACAACGTGGGCACAATATTAGAAAAATATAGTAAGACCTTACTTGGGCCCGTTATTAGCCAAACTTATTATGCATTACGAAAAGGTTGGATTAACATGGGTATTCTAAACAAGTTGCGTCTTAAAGCTCGGTTTCCGAAGAATCGTTCGGATATCCTCGTTCTCTCGATTTTTTGGCACAACACGGGGACGATCTGACCATTTTGTGGAAGTCGTCTACATTCACGCTTCAGTTCTATCCGATTTCGCCCTTTAGAAGGTAATCCAAGATAGTCTTGGATTCTGGATTCCATGCAGCCTGCGAAAACAGCCGTTACTCCCCGCTCTTCGCCGCTGGGGACGTTTCCCGCGGAGGAACGTCTGCGTCTCAGCGGCAGAAATTCCATACTGATGACGTAAATCAGTGTTTACATAATAAATCCGGTAGTCAAATGCAAATTGTTCAATTTCACGTTTCTCCCGGTCGATTTTGTTAAGAATGTTGCGTTCATCTGCGAACGAGCTCCAGCAAAACTCAAATGCTTCTTCTAGAGAAGACTATATTCCACAAATATTGACCGTTTGGTTAGAGATTCATTGCGTTTACATTTAACCTTTGTGGCCTTTTGTCTTTTGTCGGTCATTCGTAAACAATAGCTAAAACAATGTAACTACTCCATCGACCAATCAGCGCTTCTGACCGGATTCCGGACAGATTTTACGTCATCAGTTTGGAATTTCTGTCGCTGAGTCGCAGACGTTCCTCCGCGCGAAACGTCCCCAGCGGCGAAGAGCGAGGAGAAACGAATGTTTTCGCAGGCTAAAATTCATGCTGTGCATTCCGGATTCCGGGAACTGGATTCACGATTCTTTGTCATTGGAACTTGCACTCAGCATTCCATTCATTATCCGGGGATTCCGGACTCTTTGAGCTGAATTCCGAATTCCAAATTCCAAAGCCCAGGATTCCAGATTCTACAAGGAAAAAATTCCCGGATTCCGGAATCTGGATTGCCTTACATGGGGCGAACGATTATATAAACCAAACATATCGCAAACCCTCACCAGCCTTATAGAAGCAGTAACGTGCGTGGTCGACTGAACTGTCAAAACAACAGCCTATCTGAAGGCACTGATCTTTAGTGACTCCTGGCCAGCCACAATCCACACGGTCAATGGGGGCAATCATCGCACAGGTGTCTAAAAAAAGGAGGCAAAATTTTGTGAACACTCAAACAAAAACTACTGAGCAGTACTTTCCTGTGGTACTATTTATTATGCTGTACAAGGTGTTTCTAACTTTTGAGTCTGTGGAGGAAATCCCTAAGTGTTACGATTCAAATGAAAACTGAGCAGTACCTTCCTGTGGCACTGTTTATTATGCTGTACAAGGTGGTTCTAACTTTTGAGTCTGTGGATGAAATCCTAAAGTGTGACCATTCAAATGAAAGCTAGTGAGCAGTACCTTCCTGTAGCACTGTTTATTATGCTGTACAAGGTGGTTCTAACTTTTGAGTCTGTGGATGAAATCCTAAAGTGTGACCATTCAAATGAAAGCTAGTGAGCAGTACCTTCCTGTAGCACTGTTTATTATGCTGTACAAAAGGTGGTTCTAACTGTTGAGTCTGCGGATGAAATCCCTAAGTGTTACCATTCAAATGAAAGCCACCGAGCAGTATTTTCCTGTGGTACTGTTCATTATGCTGTTCAAGGTGGTTCGTACATTTGAGTCTGTGCCGGGATGAAATCCTTCAGTGCGACATTTCATGAAAGCTACTGAGCATTACTTTGCTGTGGTACTGTCTAAACTGGTTTACAAGCTCTCGCTGGCTTTTGAGTTTGTAGATGAAATCTTTGTGTTGGTAAATAAACTCCAGGCAAAAACCTACGTAAAAACTAAGCAGCTGAGAATGGATCTAAGTCATCCCTTACCTTTACGATTAGTCGTGTTGTAATTAAGCTGTGAGCACTGCTTCGGCGTTCGGTTATCATCCGTCTCCGATCTGTTCTCGACATCGAATAAATTTAACATCCTCGTCATGTTTTTGTATATTTCCATAGGGTCTTCGACTCCCAACATATCCCACGTCGAGTTAGGAAATCGACAAGCAGCTAACATGCCAAGAGGTGCTCGTGCCATGCTTCGATTAAACACACCTCCGCCGTTTGCCCCATTGTTTCCACTGCCACTACCAAGTGATCTTCCGCAAATAGTGCCATAGACACTACCACGCCGTTGTACGAGATCTTGCATGAAATCGAGATAGTCCTCGGTGACTAGTTCAAATGATTGCAAGGCTTGTATCTGAAAGAGGATTTTTCAGTTAATAACCAGTCACGGAGAGCGTCAGCAATCAAAACAGCGATGGCAGCGAAAACGGCACTTGTAACGAGAATTCGTACTGTTCAATCTCGTCAAATTTGTCCAATGTAGGCGACTTTTTCTGGAGTTGTATTCTCAAGGACCACAGCAAAATTAGGAAAAAGAAAAATCTGAGTACCGTTGTTGTGTGTTGTTGTCCTTTATAAACGTGAAATTACGACGTTAAACGGCACCTGTTACTTTTTTCAAGTCAAGACGCGAGATTTCTACCCCGAAAAGACGACTCAATCGCAGAGGATTACCGGAAGTGTTCTGAAGATTTCTCAAGTACAATCATTCACTTGAACTTTTCTCTTCTTGTACCGGTTCAAATTCATGCATTAAAACGTTTACAAGTGTATCTTTCTCAAAAAGCTTTAACAGTTCATATTTCTTCATCAAGTGTAAGGAATTAGGGAGCTTAAGCGACAATGACGGCGACGGTGTCACGTAAAAAGTAAATGCGCAATGTTTTAAACTTTATCACTCTCATTCCACATAATTCAGTTTGTCAAAAGTTGGTGACTAGTTCAAGAGGACTGTATCTAAATTCAGAAAAACGGAAAGGAAAACGCTTCCTTATCCTCACATCCGCCATAAAACGTGCAGTCAGGAAGTTTCACGTCGTAGTCGTGCAACGACGACAAAGAAATGTACAAAAAGCGTGGTGCACGTGCAAAGATGTTGCTTTGCTAATCTCAGTTCTTGTTTTGCCGCTCTCGTTGCCATCGCCGCCGCCGTTGTCAACGAGCTTCAAATTCTGTAAAATGTCGATACAGAGTATTAAGGGCCTGTTTACATGGAGTGGGGGACCCCGGTCTAGTGGGGTAAGTTTCTTTTGTTTTCACGCTCTGGTGGACACAAAACAAAAGAAACTTACCCCACTACACCGGGGTCCCCCACTCCATGTAAACAGGGTCTAAATCAACAAGTGCAATGTAACTTACATCCTCACTCAGATTTGCTATGTCATCCTGTAAGGCCGTTAACAGCTTTGTCACATTTTCATTTGTCTGAAAAACACAAACAAAAACAACGTGTTGACAAAAAATACACTTAATACACGAGTTATCTAGAGGAAATAACATTTTTATTGCCGTCTGTATTCCCACCGGAATAACTGTTTTTTTCGTGCAAATGGTAAACGCTAATGATTTTCATTTTCATTTCATTCCACCCTACGAGAGATCTTCATTGTGTTCAAATTTTTGAGCCTTAATAAATGTCCAAAAAGCATTAAATGATATTACACGAAACGTTTGGTTGTACTTAATTCGCAGAACTAGGGAAACGCGGGCACTACCACGAATCTTTAGATTGTATGAAAAAAAATCCCCGCTTAAATTAAGCCATCCAAAAAAATTCTTGCCAAACTGTCCTGCCCAAAAAAATCCTGGAATCGAAAACTTTGAAACCCCCAAAAAATCCTTCGATCATTCCCATCATTTGAAATCTGGGGTACCCACCGCCCTTTTTCTCCCCTCCCTGGGCCTCAGCCCACCCTTCTGGATTTAATACTCAATCTTGTTTTCGCTGGTCAAACTGGGTTTTTCGAGTGCTAATATCCGTTTATTGATAAACTAATGGCAATAAACGTGCCCGTTGTAGCAAGCACACAGCTATTAGGTCTTGGTTCATAGTTATATCCTACTAAAATGCCGCACAGGCTCAACAAAGATCTTACTAGATTCATGCAGAATCCGGGATAAGGAGCAGCTGCTCTAGTACTGAGAGTCTTTTTCAAGTACGCCAAAAATCGAGCAAGCGTAAGAAAGGTTCTGCTGATAGGGGTCTATTTGCCTAAACCAATAACCGACCGGTTTGTACATGTAAATGATAAACAACCTTTGGGAACAGCATTTCAATCAACTGATCTTGGATTACCAATTACATGTACCGAGGCACTCATGTGCAAAACAAGCCGCGCCTTGCCCAAAGCACTTGGGATTTTAAGATCCAACGACGAGACGGCAAAGGGGAACGTCGTTTAAAAAGTGAATTTGCGTTCTTTCAGTCTTTATCGCGATTATTCTTACTTACTTGCTTTGTCAAATGTAGGCGAACCCTCCTGAAGTTGAATTCCAAGGAACCAAATCCAAGTTCAGAAAGAGAAATAAAATTTCGTCGTTGCTTGTTTACGTTCTCCACAAGTCGCGTAATTAGGCATTTTCACGTCGTAGTCGTGCAAAAACGGCGAAGAATTGTACAAAAAAGTGTGATGCACGTGCAAAGTTGTTGTTTTGCTTATTAAACTTATTGTTTTCGTTTTGTTTGTTTGTTTTTTTTGCTTTGTTTTGTTTTGTCTTTTTTTTTTTACGTACTCGTTGCGGTCGCGTCGTTGAATCTTAAAGTCCCCACTTGTTCCACCACCTGGACATCAGAAAGACTTACAATAGGCCAGCAATTTACACGCAGTTAATCCAGTGTTCAACAAAACCGCATCCTAAGCCATTTTCAGTTAGCCCAGCGCTTTTATCTTTTAAAACACCATTATAAACTGTCAGACTTGCGACTCGACCTCACGAGTTTCTAAGGGAGCAGAGCGACCTTTTCAGGCCGCGAAGTGGCCGAGCAAGAAACAAACTCGCAGCATTTTATGGCGTAGACTAGAAAAGCATTTATTTTCTTAAAACAACCCCCTAAAGAAGAGATCTGAAGGTTTGCCGAGCCGCGAATACAATATAAATACATGTACCTTACTCATACTAAATAGCAAAATGCACGTTTTGTTTCAATTTTTGTTTCAGACTCATTATCATACATTGCCATACCCAAAAAAGGGGCAAATCAATTAAATTTAAGCCAAAGAAAGAGTGTAGCCTTAAGATAATTATACATTGTTCTCTAGCGAGCATCAAGGAAGAGCGAAGAATGTTATTAAAATGTCACCTGATAGTCATTGACATTTGGCCACTGGAGCTGTCTTCTGAACTCGTCTCCCACTGCACCAAGCACTGAAACATTAAGCTTACATACGGCGGTCTTAACCTCTGCCACATTAGGTCCGTTCAAGATTTCTTGAAGATTCAGCGGAGAGCTGGGGTCGCACATGATCTCTTTAACAGCTTCTCCATTTAATCCTCCTTCAGACTACAAAACAAAATAATTATTAGCTCAAAACAAAAAGATGGCTTTAGTGATTAACATCAAATTTCACCATGTAAAATAAATGCTTTGCATAACAGAATGGTTGCAAGAATTTAATAAATGATCACCCAAGATGAATCATGATGATCTTAGTAGAGTACAAGTGGAAACCAGGGGCGCTTTCCATTTAGTCAAAATTTCCGGAATTTCCGGTTCGGCGGTAAATGGAACACGTTTCGTCGGTTCATCCCACTGGAAAATTCCCAGAAAAAGTGGAAAATCTGAAAAGGTGGTCCCGCTTTCCTGGTTGGAATTTCCGAACGGAATGTCGTGTTCCATTTACGTTTCTCGTAGTTTGTACCAGTTCCAGGTCCACGGTCGGGCACCGCCACGTACCGGGGTTTACGACCAAATGGAACAACTTTTTACCAATCGGAAATTCCACTTTTGCTACCACCGAAATTTCCGGGTTTTTTTCCTAAATGGAAAGCGCCCCAGGGGTTCTTACCATTTGCACAAACCAACTGGGTGGAAATTTGAGCATAAAAACTAAACTGTAAAATTTCAGGTGGTGGAAGAACAACCCACTACAAAGAAGTCTATTCAATTCCCCGGCCCAGGGACAAAGCAAACTGTCTGTAATAATGTGGTGTCCATAATAACCAGGTGTCTCTAAAGTGCGGTTTAACTATAGAACAATGATTGTGATTTGAGGTGATGTATTACATCACAGTCCATCATTTCTGAAGCTTCCAAAACGGATAGGCATGAACCATTTGTTTTTCCACCCAGACATTCCAGTTTTCCCATGTAAACGCATGGTAAGTACCCCAGGCCTACCCTGTTCAATATAAAATAATTTGCATGGAATACATGTATGCCAACTCTCCCCTCTTATCCAAGAGTCTCCAGAATAAAGCACCCATCTCCCACTCATCCATAAGGGAGATTTATCTCCCGGATAAAATCAAATTTTGAATATTTATGTGATTTAGTTTCAAAATTAGTCCACTTTTTCCAAAACAGTACCATTTCTGGGGCATTTTTGCACTTATTTGGTCACTGACAAAGACTAGTTCGTACATTGATGAATGCGAATTTTGATGGTACGTACTTCATGTAAGACTTCATATAATGTCCTAAGCCATTCCTACAGTGTATGACTGTCAAAAGTTGGGGACTGGGTTGATTTGTGGGGTGGGCGTTTGTTGACATTCAACAAGAGATAGAGTCTCCAGATTTTAGATCTCCAGAGGTTGGCATCTCTGGGAATACATACTTGTAAAGAGTTGGCTAACAGCAACCAAAACAACAAATTGGCCTGTTGGTTTCCAGAGGATGAGCCAGGTAATGGTAATGAACCCAAAAGACTTCCTTGAGACCAAGGAACTGCACTCTGTGAAAGCTGTGACAAAGGTTGAATTATGGCCACAATCTGCCGACAGGAAATTAAAAAATAAATAAAAAATAAGCAAACAAAAGTTTCAGTACATGACTGAAAAATCAAGTAAAAATAACATAATAAGATGAGCTCTCTCATACAATGTACGCTGATCTTCAATCCATTTTAACATCGCAGATTATTGACAAAAAAAAAGAATAAAGAATCAGTGATAATTAGAAATTGATAATTCATTGTAAGATGGGTCTTCAAGAGTGTCAGTAAATCTCTTCCAACATGACTGAGTTGAAAGCACCTATTTGCCTTCCTCTTACCAAAATATTCAATTGTCAATGTCACAGGTCAAAATTAAATTAATTCAGGTTAAAATTAATTTGTTAACTTGAGTTGATTCTCAATTTCCTTTCTCTCCTAGCTGTAATTCAGGGGAGCAAGGGTGGCGCAGTGGTAAGAGCGCTAGCACTCCCAGCGTCGACGCCATATGTGGGTTAAATTTGTTGTTGGTTCTTTCCCTTGCTCCGAGAGGTTTTTCTCCAGGTATTCCGGTTTTCCCCTCTCCTCAAAAACCAACATTTCCAAATTCCAATTCAACCAGGAATCAGGTAGACAAAGAACCACTATGTGGATGTGCTATCTGCAAATCATTATTTAATATTTATTTTAACATTTTTTTATTTATTATTCACAAACTGGGACTAGGAGACAAAGAAAATTGAGAATCAACCCACCGGTAACTCAACAGAAAATTTTAACTTAAACTTCATTTTGACCTGTAACACCTACACATTATTGGACGAATGACCAGGTCAATGGAGAAATCTATTTTTTTTAACTAAAAAAATTGAAAACATTAAGTCTGTTGTATTGAGTCCTGAAATCTTAAAATAAAATACATGTCACAGCCATTCAATATGCAAACACAATAATAAGTTACATGCATATCACTACTGAGTATTTCTATGATGAGAGAGACTTTTGAAAAAAATTCATTTTTTACATTTATGACTCCCTCTTTTTATAAACTGTATAATTATTAAATTTAATACAACTACCAACTCTTCAACATCTCAGGTACAACAATAATTATTTGATAATCAAGACAGCCACCCTTTCATATAAAAAGAGTTTGTATCTGTTGTAAAAAAAACTTGATCTCCTGCTTCAGCATAATCACATTGTGTAGAACCTGAAAGTGGCTGGAACATACCTTTTGCACATTGACAGTGCTATTAAAGAGCTCCGTCACTACTTTTGGACTAAGGTTAGTCGTGTCATAAAGAAACTTCTGAAAACCAGCAGGATCTTTGAGCAACTTGTCTAATGGAACATCTGCAACATTTTAAAAAATAATAATAAATTAAGCTCAAAATTACATTAAATTTTCACTTATGAAACAATACTGTAAACTTCCAATTATAAATTAAGTTAAAAATTAAGTAATTAAATTTTCACTTATGAAACAATACCGTAAACTAACACTTTCAAGCCCTGGGCTTACAACTTCATGAGGGGTTATAGAAGGCTTTGTAAATGGGGAAGGGGGGGGGGAGGCTGGGGCTTTATACACTGTATAACCAAACTAAAAAAAACATTTCAAGAAACAAGTTACATAGCAGTGGTGATTAAAACACGTTTTGAATTATTTGCTCCCTTTTTAACCTTCGAAACATCGTAAAAATATCAAATTCTATTTCTTCAAAAGTTAGGAGGGGGCTTATATCGGGGGAAAGCTTTATAACCAGATGTATTTTTTTGGTGTTGTTTTCAGGCATATAGGCCTATCACTTTGGGAAAATGGTTTGAGTGCACTGATCTACATCAAAACTACAAAAAATTAAATCATTTTGAAAAAAACCTCATACCTGACAAATTATAACTGCGCCATTGAATAGGCCTCGAAGAGTCCCCAAGCAGGTCATTCCAAGCTTGCTGGTCTGTCACAAATTTTCTATAGTCTTGATTTACTCTCAGAAGCCGCTCTCTAAGAGTGTTGTTTGCCAGCAAAGGAAGGGAATCTTCCACTAATCGGCCAAAACTGTCAAGCAAGAAAGAATTCACAGTGTTAATGAACTGAAGTTGAACAGCTTTTTGCATTGTTACTCATGTGGAGTTACTATGCAGCAAGTGCGAAAACCGTTCAACATCCAAAAGCTTGGGAACTAGTAGCTGGGAAGTAGATTGGGGGACCTGTGGCTATAAGATTGTCAGGAAAATAACCATGACAAACTGCAAGCAGGAAGTTGTGTGGCTTAGACACATGACCTGATCTTTGTTTTGATTTGTCACCACACAATAAACATTCCTGGGATATTTCAGATGTTCAGAGTTTTCTGATTTTGACAGTAAAAGACATGCTTATGGGTGTATTTCAAAGAGACAGTTGAATAAAACCATGGCATCATTAAAGAGGACTAGTGTCTTTCAGAAATGAGTTTCCTTTAGGAGACTTCAGGGTTCTCATATAGACAGCTAAAATGTAAAAGTAGGCAGCTTAAATAAGTAAATAAAATACATAAATAATGATTTGGACTAGTTAGCACATCCACAAAGTGGTTCTTCGTCTACCTGATTCCTGGTCCAATTGGCTGGAATTTGGAAATGTTGGTTTTTGAGGAGAGGGGAAACTGGAGTACCCGGAGAAAAACCCCTTGGAGCAAAGGAGAGAACCAACAACAAACTCAACCTACATATGGCGTCGACACCAGGATTTGAACCCGGGCCACACTGGTGGGAGGCGAGCACTCTCACAACTGCGCCATCCCTCAAGCAGCTTGGTAACTGAGTGCTGAAGGCAATTTCAGGCTTTCACTCTTTCACTTTACCCTATTTCCCAAAAAAGTAGACGGCTCAAACCTCCAAGTAGCCAGTTTTTTAGCAGGCTACCGGCACTTAATGAGAACCCTGGACTTGGAAATACGGCTTATCCCATACCTTGAAGCTCTAAGATTTGGTAATCCAGTTGACAGCTCCAGGGGATCACTTGTCTTGGATCCTTTGAAATCACAGAGAAATGACCTTGCAAATGGAAAAATTCCAGCTGAAGGGAGCGCCCTTGGTCGATAAACACCTGAGAATGAAAGGAAACAAAATGGTGTGACTGTTGAAAATAATATTAAATCCTTTTTCAATTGCTTAATACAACCACCCAATGAGCTTTTCACCTAGGCAAGAACAGGAGGGTATTTCCTTTACCACTTGAAGTAAAATGGTGATTAGTTTGATGTAAGGCCCTGTTCGCACTATGCAATATTTTGTTTGCTTTGCTAAAAAATCTGTCAACAGGAAGCCATTTCTAGTGTCAACAATTTTTTCTCAGAGACGACATCGAGAAAATTTGGAGGCCTATCTTTTTTTGTCAGACAACAAAGTCTTTTGTTCCTTGACAGCTATTCTTCATTGGATCATCTTATTTCATGAATGTGACCAGTTATAGTACCTTTTATTAACTTTTTTGGATACAAAAAAACTTTTTGCGGCCTCAGGTGCAGACAAGGTTACAAAAACGAAAAATTAGTGACTATGAAATTTTCAAATTTTTTGCAAAAGCCAAACCCAATTTTTCGTCGTAATGCAAACAGGGCCTTAGTCTCAAAAATGTATACCTGCCAACTCTCACGCCTTAGGCGTGAGTCTCACGCCTGCGGGTTGAAAACTGCGATCTCACGCCGGCTCACGCCTGCGGGCCAATTTCTCACGCCTGATTGAAAAATGTGAGTTGTTGCCGTCCTGCTTGACACAATTTCCAAAAATATGTTAACTCAGACCCATGTAAAGAACGAAAACCATGTGTAAAATGAATAAATGGCAATATCTTCCTCGCGATCTCTGATTTTTGAAGTGAAAAGCACTGGGAGCGAGCTCGCCTGGCAGACTTCGGTAGACTTCGGACGTCTTCGGAAGACTTCGGAAGTCTTCGGAAGACTTCGGACTTCTTCGGGAATCTTCGGAAATGATCGTGTCGTCTTCAAAAATCCCAGCATTCCCAGGATAAAAATCTCACGCTTATATCTCAGAAAAAGTTGGCAGGTATAAAAATGCCTTTGTTTTAATGCAAATGTACAGTGTTAAGGCATAAAGCTCTAATGAGGAAAATTATTGTATCCTTACAATACTGTAAATGGGACTGCCATTTCTACATGCAAAGTTCTTAACCATAACAAGCAGAGCGAGGGTCCATCCAAAGCCCCCTAAATAAAAACATCAGACCACACATGTTTTTAAAATTTCATGACTGAACCACATTTATTGACAACGTATGCAACAAAATACTTACTATTAGGTATTCTTGTTGCCCCATAACCTTTCCGATTCCGCACAACCACAAGGATTATAAACAGAACAAGTGGCCATGCTATCTCCACAAGATTTCTTAACTAAAAAAGCAAAGTTTAAAGTAAGTGGAATGTCCATGTAACAAAACTAGTTGGGGCATACACACTGCAATCTTGTATGACACCTTCAACTATTGACTTTTCATATTCATTGCACAAAGTACATTGTAGTTCATAAACCTTTAGTAGCTGAATTAAATAGGGCAGCTATATACCTTGTTATTAAAACTGAAGCTTAGACGTATTACACCATGATCTTATTGCCCAGTGATATGATATTAGGGTGCTTTATTCAAGTTCATACTGGGTATCTATAAATAAAAGGAAGGGTGGACTAAAAAATATATGAAAATGGTATGGCAGAACCTGGATTTCTAACTCTTTGAATCCAAAACATGACCTCCTTTCCAAGTCAATCACTCGTACATTGTACATTCCCCTTCCCCCCCACCCCCCTCACCCAGAGCACTCAGGGGCAGTTTGGGTAAAGATGTAACCCCAAGGCTTTCAAACACTGACCCTATTTAAGACAGAAATAATTCATTTTGCTATCCAGTGTGGAGTAAAATACTCAAAACCGCTTCACTGACGATTAGTTTTTTTTTACATATAAAAACACTTGCAGGCATGCGAACAGGGTTCGAAAAAAAGTTCCGTCTGGCTGTCTGAGACAAGTAGATATCCTGGTTAGACAACTAACATTTTAACCTCACTTGATGGCCAAGGGTAAGGGCATGTCATCTGGTAACTAAATCATCAGCTAAGACAAGCAAGCAATTGCCCTGGGCAAGCAAAATGTGGGAGCTGGCTACTTGTCCTTTGAACATGCTGGAATTCAAGCTTTTTTTTAAGCGCTGATCACAAGGTCTTACATTTCTCATTCATGTTACAATAATTTCCTACGGGTGTCTTCAACAAATATGTCATTATGTTTTCAACATTTTTTTTTTTTTTAATATTTATTTATTTCTGTAATTTCCTCAAACAATTTTAAGTAATATCTTATTGCAGTATTCAGAAAGTAAATGTCTTCAAGACAATAAAAAATTAACTTCAGTAGCCATCTTCCAGATATTACTCCAAGTCATGAACTAGCAACCAATAAATATAATATTTATTTTTAGATTTCCAAATGTAACCAGGAACATATATTGAGTGAACCAGTGGGTTATGATTTAAAATCCAAAAGGATCTGATAAAAAAGACACTACACATGACTCTGAGGAAGTTGATCACAAAAGATAGGAAAAAGTCATTAAAGAGCATGTTCAATACCATAAAAGTTGCTTCCTCTGAATCATGTGCTTTACCTTGCCATGTTTCAAGTGTTTATAAAATTATTTAGACTATTGTCCACTAAGTCCGGACATGCGAATTTTCGAACCAATATTATTTCTTCATTTTAGATTGATTGTAATATTATGACAAAGCCTTTTTTTCTTTGATCGAAAATGGTAAATTTCTCTAGCACCATATTTCAGTAACCAAGCAATCGTGAAGACTACAAAATATTTCTTGAAACAGATCTTTTTTCAGCACACGCAAAAGTGTGCGAAGGACGGGGTCGTTCGTTTACAGAGGGCTGATACGGACGTCAGAGAAAATGTTACGTCATCACCACATAAGAAGGATGCAATTTGAGCGGCGAAAAAACCCATTGGTCTTCCTTTTGACAGAAAAAATAAAATTCTGCAGCTTAAATAAAGTGAATAAGTCATTCTAAGCACGTGCTTTGATATACTTTTAAAGCGCGCTATGTCCCAAGGAAATCGACAAGCACTTTACGGACGAATTTATCGAGCTCACCAGACTTACATGTAAGAGTTCTTCGAAATCATATCACGGAAACGCGATCGGCTAAAGGAAAACGATGCTAAAATAGGACAGTGAAGTGATCTTGATTCTAGCATTAACGCTTAATTTTACAAGTACACAAAGAAAAACGATTTATCTTGTTTGCAAACCCGCGGAGATAAAAGCTCGCCCTGAGGAACGAACACCACAGGTACCGGTACACTAGCTAGAACAAGCAGCTGCTACAAAGAAACAAGCTTTTCCACTTTTTTTTTGCAAATGTAAGAACGGAATCGAATCGGCAGTCGTTTGCTGTACGCAAATTACATAAGCAATTTAGAATCATGACGGATAATGACTAAATTAAACTTACGTGTTGGCGTTTTCGAAGCGAGAAGTTCTTCCACACGAGTAACTTGAGTTGGTCAAAGAATTTCATTGTGGAAGGGTCCTGAGTGTTGGAACCAAAGGATTTTCGGCCAAAAAACTGAAAATGTAAGACACAATTGCTTTTAATGGATCACCTTAGAAAACTGAAACTGAAAAAGCGACAAAATGAAAGCGAGATTTTCGATTTTGACTCACCTGGACTGAAGGGACGCAGCAAGCTTGACCGGACTTCAATTTTTTTTCGTCGAAATTTAATATATTTTTTCCTCCATGCGCGCGTTCTTCAAAGATTCACAGTACCGACAACTGAGGTCTTCGACGATCTGTTTTTGTATCTTATCTGCCGACCGATTAATGCACGGATGTAAATAAAACGTGTTATTAGCACAAAGAACAACGTTCGACGACTTGAAGCTTAGCTTTTCCTGTCCTTCTTCTCAAAAACGCATTTGTTTATCATGTGGAGAGAGAAAGACCTGGGTACTGCCATGTCATTGGCAAATGATGACGTATGTTCGGCAAATAATCGTTCGAGCTTGGAAAATCGATTTTCTGGCAAGTGTGCAAAATTTCGTTGTCTGGCACAAAAGTGAATCAGAGAAAGTGTATTTATGGAGTAAACTAAAGAAAACCGTCCCTTTTTGATGCTCATTTAGAAATTCCATCGAAATGTTTTATCAACATTGCGCAAGGCCCAGGGGCCGAGTGAACAGCTGAATGACGTCAGCTTCGGTCAATAATCGTTAAAACTCGGAATGCTATCTACATTAGTCGGGTAACCAGTCCTCCCACGTCCACTATGTTTTGCACGCCTGGCACTTTGAAACAGGTGCAGAAGAAAATGAGCCCATTTGCCTTTGTTTTTGTTGTTGAATAGTGGGTTAAAAGATTTCCAACGCAGAAAATTGCTCGGAATACTTGAAAGGTAAGTTAATCTCATCCGTGTGAAATAATATTGATGATGCAGCTGATACCAACGTCAAAGATCACCCGAGCCAGAAATTACTTGAAATCTCTGCTCTGACGCCCAGCCGGAGTATGTCAACTGTTTATTTTTACTTCTCCGTTTGTCTTCACGTTAAATAATCTATTTAACCCCCAATAATTACAGCTTAAATATTTAGGTGCCGTTTCGTGTTAATTAAAAGACCCATACGTGCGCATTAAAATAATGTCTAAGTAAAATTCTAATCAGTTTCGTCATCACTTAAGCTACCAATTGTGATTTTTTCTTCTACTCTTGCAAACATGTCACACAGCCGACCGATTAATCACACAGTGATATAAAAGTGTGCTTAAACCATGTTTTAATGACGCAAAATCAAATGAAATTTCTAATATAAATGTTTTATGAATTCATTTAAATCGATTGATAAATTTAATGCTTTAACCTGTAAAAATCAGTTAAAAAGGATATGAAAAGAACCTTTAAATTCTTTTTTGTAAAATGTTAATTCGGTGCACAAGAACGCAGAGCTTAATATTTCCTTTCTTCTCTATGTTCCTTGAGTCAGAAAAAATAAGAAAAACGCCTTCCAAAAAAACAATAGAATTGTTTATTAGGAGTTATGAACAGTTTTAAACACAGATCCCCTGCTGACATATTTATGAATTTCCAAAACTAATGGAAAATACTTAATAACCAACAACAGAATCTTAAAAGCAGTTCCGTTATCTTCACAGCCAGAATGTAATGTTTGGTTTTTCAGTTTTCAAGACAAGCAAAAGTTTTTTTTTTCAGTGGCGGATCCGGTTAAGGGCTCCTCCCCCCTAATTTGTAAACCAAATAAGGCCCAAAATGCCGAAAAAAATTTGTTTTGAAATGCCTGAAAGCACATTGAAAATGACAATTTTATAGTCTGATTTGGGATCAGGATTCGAATAATTAGAACCGGGCAGCATAGCTCCACCACGAATTCCCTGAAATAGCCCCTCGGGAGGTAAATCTACCCCCAGACTAAACCACTGGACATAACTCTGTTCAAGCCCTGAACCACTGATTAAAATGGTTACTTATATTGGTGTAAATAATTATTACTGCAATACATACATCATACATTTATTGAATACATCCCCATGTGGGACTTTTCAGTGATAAAATAGGATTACAAAATTAAAAATATACAGGATTACAAGAGCAAAATCTATATATTTTAACCTATTCACATAATTTGAGCAACAGTTTACAATTTATTGATTAAAATGAGAAAAATACCTTTTCACAGATTTGGTATTAAGCAGTTCTATTTATTTTTTCAAACAATACCATAATCTAGAACAGTGTACATCACATAACAGTGCCTATTGAAACTTGTCAATGCATATTTTTTACCAATCAAAAGTATACCTGTTATTTGTAGTTGGAAATTGCTGAAACATCGATCAAAAAAATTTATTTGCAGACCTGTGGAGGTAAGTAAACATAAAGCAAATGTTAAAGAGCTGATTCTAAATAAATAGAGGATTGTTAAAGGAAGCAAGTTAATTTTAATTATAAAATGATAAGAATATGTACGGTAAGCCTCCATTACCTTAATTTTGATCGACCGCTGAGTGTTTTTTTTCTTTTACAGCTCAGGGACTTTTCAACATATAAAATATATACTAGTTATCCTGGGGAAACCTTCATTGTGGTTTTAAAATTATGGATGCCAGTGATTGCCAAGGTTGTTGCTATGGCAACATAGAGAGTGAAGCTAGCAACAGATACATGATAGAGAAACATGATACTGTTTATTGCCAAGAGTTTCAACAACATACCCAAAGCAAGGATCCTGTTAGTCCAGATCATCTGAAACACTCCGTTCCTGATGACAACTTGACAAGATTGTCAAACATGAATATCTGCAATGGTGATGAAGTACATAGTGCTAATGAACCAATGCCACACCAATACTGGTCATTGGCAACTTTTCCACCGGAGTTAATTCTTTTGATCTTTTCATATCTTGATGCACGTTTTACATTAAGGGTGTTGGCATGTGTATGCAAACTGTTCCATAGTCTTCTATCATCTGAATCTAGCTGGAAAACAAGATTTGGTAAACGATGGCCAAGAAGGAACAACAGGGAAGATTATGACTTTGTATCAAGGTTTGAGTGACAGTTTTGCTGATGTTGCCACTGTGGTTTCTTAAGCTCCCATCAGTAGGCGCTGTGTTTTTAACTTATATTAATTTTGTTTTGTAGTTGGAAGAGAATATGTGTTCAGCAAGAGGATCTAGACAAGTTTTGGCATGATCCCACGTCCTCTCTGGACTTTTATCAGCTAAAAGATCAGCATTTTGCTCCAGTAGATACAGTTCACATCATGAATAGCGCTAATCTGTGCATCTCAGGGGCGAGAGATCGTGCAGTGGGTGTGTGGAGTCTATCAGCTTTAGCAGATCCCCTGGAGGAAGGATATGCTAAGAAGTCTTTTAAGCAATCACTTGATGGGCACAGGGTATGTAACAAGATTTGGTAAACTCCGGAGGCAGCGTTGCCAAGTGGTCAGCACGTTAGACTCACAATCTGGCGGTTCCAGGTTCGAGTCCCGCCCTGTTCAATTGCTGGATTTGTTTTCGGTTGTCCCAAGTTCAAATCCTTGGCCACGCTTGTAAATAGCGGACTGGTTCCCTCCTGCCAGTTGGGTTTTTAATCCTGTTATGTTATATTTAAATTATTTGTTTCTAAGTATTTAAGTGGAGTGCCTGTAAACTAGCTGAGTAAGCTAAGTGTAACTTTCCACTATAAACAAGCCTTTAAACCTTTAAACAGTTAATATTAGTTTGATGCACTGTAGTAATAGTATTAAAGGTTTTTCATGGATCTTATGATGGACACAGAGTTTGTGACATTCAAGTTGATCCTTGGCATGTAGCAAGGCCATGTAGATGGCTTCAGAGTTAGGTTGGTTCCTGAAGAAATAGCATTATTAAGATATTAATTAGTTAAATTACAGGGCTGATTACCTCACTGATCTCTTAATGGGTTGTTCCAGAAAAAATCCACACCCCCCCAACGGATGGGATTCTGGAGATTCTCGCGGGAGGGGGGGTCGAAGACTCCGGAAATCCAGGCGGAAGGGGGGGTTGACCTTAAAAAAGTCTTCTGCAGGGGTCATTTCGACCGATAGTTGATACAAATCAAACATTTAGTTCAATGACACTTAAGCGCTTTCAGACCCTGAAAATAGTCAAAATGTTTTGTTCATATATTTCTCACCTGACATAAATGATAATTTAAGTTGCTTTACGGGTCCTTTTATAGCAGAAAACGCGAACAAGATACTAAAGAACGGGCCTGAAGGAACTCGTCGCAACGTTGTTGTCACGAAGAGCGTCAAACGCCTGACACATTTCTACTCGCACCCAGAGCCCGCGCGCGAAGAGCGAAGAGTGATTTTTATAAGCTAAGAAATTATGTAAACACTCGTTCAGGTGTCGTTCGCATTTTTGTTTTTTGCTCCTTTCGTTTTTAATTCCACGCTATAGAATTCTTAGTTTAATATAAGCTGAAGCTTTAGAAATTAAAACAAAACATTTTGGCGTGTTTGCGTGTATTTTTCATTAAAAATAAATTAAATTTAAGCCTTTTATTTTTTCCCGGAAATCCAGGCGGGAGTGGGGGTCTTCCACCTTGGAAATCCAGTTGGGAGGGGGGGTCTTGTGCTTCAGGAAATCCAGGTGAGAGGGGGGGTTAAAAAAGGACCCCATCCGTCGGGGGGGTGTGGATTTTTTCCGGAATAACCCAATAGTGCTTGGACATCTCTTAAGGGACCTGAGGATAAGTGATATTCATTGATCAATAGTCTAAATGAGTTAGCTGATCTCCTGTGTGTCACAGTTATACCAGTAGGTCTAAAATACAGGTCACTTTTCCACAGGTCAGAGTACAGGTCACCATGATACAGATAAATGAATAGCATTATAAGTGTCTCCTAGCCCTGACCTCTTAACATAATGCTCTGTTAGATTGAGGGGAATCTGTGTGGTTTAGTAATTTATCAATGGAGCAGTGACCTGTATACTTGAACTGTGGAACGTGACCTGTACATTAGACGTGGCCCAGTTATACATAACTGTAATGCATTTATAACACTTTGGTGATTTCAGGGTTGGGTTTGGTGCCTTGGTAGTGACCCCACAGGGGCTCCGAGAGTGTGCTCAGGATCTTGGGATGGTAACATCAAATTGTGGGACCTTCAGGGACAAAGTGCTGAGATGACTACAATCAGGTGCATAATATTGAATTGACAGATAGTTACAGTGTGGTGTTTCACTCAATCTCACAGTTAAGGCCCACCTTCATCTTATCCTTCATCTTATGGGTTATATAACCATTTGGTTTTCTAATCAGGGGTGTCAATAAGCACCGACAGCCAACAAAACACATCACGGCCTCCTTTGCTCGTAGAAGTCGGCTACTTTTTTCTAGAAAGAAGAAGCAACTAGTTTGATTAACGTTGTAAAGGAAAAATATATCATAAAATCTGAATGAAAATGTAATAATGTGTTTTTGTAATATAAAGGCCCACTGGTTTTACGTTATGCTTTAGTTATGTGAACACTACATTTCAGTTATTTTTTCACAAGTTTCTTTATAGGTTTAAAAAAGTACGTAATTTAGTTCATTTGTTCGTTGCTTGCATGAATTGTTTGTGCGACTGATAAATTTAATATTGAAAGCTACATTTTCTTGAATGAAAAACGCACTCTTCTGTCCTCAATTTTAGTCCCCAGAATGCTGAAAATGGCATTTTAGGGCTTTGAAGTTTCAAAATTTTCTTTGGCAGAATGCACCCAGACCCCGCTCATCCCCCTACCCCCTTAGGAAAAGGGGACTAACGACCCCTTGTTGATGACTTCAATTTGTATTGAAACCCCTTGCTAATTTTTAAAAACCTTGCATTCTTTATTTTAGCAATTTAATATTGGTTGATGCTTTGAAATGATGGAGTTTTATGTCATAGAAAGTTTTCTTTGGTGTGAAGTGCATCCAGGGAAACCTTTAAAAACCAGCATATACACCAACATAAATACACATACTTAAACAACATATACACATAATAATTACTAATCATGAAGTATGTCTCAGCTGGATTTATATGAAAAGTTGTCTATACCTTAGGTTTTTGGATCAACAAACACTCACAAACATTTAAAAAATGCCCTGTATGGTTTCTAAAATAATGGTATCAAAGAAAAGTGCTACTTGGTAGTCTTCTCTCGATGACCAAACATGTATGTTTTGGGCATGGCTCATTGATTGTTGCAGAAATCAAAACACACTGTATAGAATGCAAGTAAACTGCAACATGGCACAAAATTAACCACTACAGAAAATACCATAACATACCATAATGCTCTTTGTTTGTCACCCCAACATTTTGCATAAGCATTGTTTTCAGTTTCTCTTGGGACCATTTTAACTCCCAAGAGAAACATGCAAAATTTTGGGATGACTAACAATGAGCATTATGGTATGTTATGTTATTTTCTGTAGTGGTCAATTGCATTACAGCTCTAATTTGATTGGTCGCATGTTAGGATTTGCATACAAAGAATAAAATTAATGCTGAGATGAGACCCATCAGGGTATGAAACACTGCTGAAATTCTTTGATAGTCTTGTTTTGCAAACCATAGTTAGTAGAGGATTCAAACTAGTAAATGCCTGAGCATCAAAATCTGGCTCAAGTATATGGTATTGGCCAGACTGCAGAGTTCTGTGCTGTGGTCACCTCTCTGAGATGTTTTATTATAAAGTCCTATATCGTTGTTGTCCCTTTGTCATGAACTCATTGTATCGATATGTTTTTTGTTTTTTTTTTTTTGAACTTACAGTGCCCATAAGGCAGCTGTGTTGTGTTTGTCTTGGGAACAGGATATGCTAATTTCTGGCTCTTATGACAGAACCATTGTCATGTGGGATCTTAGAGGTAAGTGAAATCACTCATCTTACCCTGGCCTATTGTTTCATTCTCAAGCTGTTGCATTTATCATAATAATAATTATATAGATTTAGCCAGGCCTAAACACGAAGCATTTGCCTATTCATTTATACATGAAAGACCTTGATCCTTTGTTATTCTTCTGCTTATTTTATAACAACTTTAAAAGGCCAAAGCCATTAACAGAGCCCTGCTTTTAGTGGTCTGTTTATTATATGTAACTTTGCATGTAACTTTGAAACAGTAAATAGCTTGAATTCTTTTCTTGTCCTCCCAGCTGGAAATTTTGAAAAAAAACACAGAACCTGTACTGTGAATCACTGTCATAAAAATACCACCCACAATAATAATAGCTAGAGGGGCTGCCATGAAAGCCAAATGGCAAAACACTTAATTGATATTATCAGGGGTCTCATATTGGCAAGAGGTTAAGTATAATGGAGTAGCTTTGGTCATTTTTTCTTATTATTCTGCCTTTTGATTCTACAGGCACATTTATAGGTTGCAGAAAACCTTAACTGTGTCTTTTAAGCATCCATTGATTAATATTGCAGGGGGTTTGTGAAAGCCAAATGGTAAATCACTCGTAACAAGACCTACTGTACTATAAAGAGAGGTCTGCAATTTCATGAAAATAATGGGCTCATTTGTTTATTATTTTAGCTGGTTAATCTATGAGTACTGTAAGAAAAACACACTAAAGCTGTATCATGTGTTACTGTGAAATTTAGTACCTTGTGTTAATAACTAGCAGAGGTGCCATAGAAACCAGATTGTTAAACACAGCTATTGACCATGAATTTGGTCTCTTAATGGAAGCTGGCTTGGTTAAGCTGTTAACGTGTTTCTGATTCTTTCTTCAACATTCCAGCTGGCAATTCCATAGGCTCTTTAAAGAACCACAGTAAACCGGTCCTGTGTCTTACTGTTGATGACCGTTTCATCATTAGTGGAAGCGAAGATAAAACACTCTCTGTGTACGACAGAAGAGCTGCTCAAGTTTATAAAAGTGTTAAGGTACCGTTTTGTCTTCCTTCACTATATAATTCTTAATTATCTTAAATAATGAAAAAGAGTGTGATCTTTACAGTAAAAATAACAACCAAAGCGGTTGAAAAAAAACCTGAAAAAGTTCAGGCTTGATCGGGAATCGAACCCTGACCTTTGCGTTGACCAGACGCAACGCTCTATCCATTGAGCTAATCAAGCCAACTGGAGAGCAGGCCATTGTGAGTTCGTAATATACCCGATGGTGGAAATCATATGAATAAATAAAGATATAGATAAAGATATCAGGGGCGGATCCAGGATTTTTTTTAGGGGGGTGCACTCGTCTCTTGCTCTACTTCAACACCAATAAACCACATAGTTTTTTTCGCAGAATACCAGTTGTATTAGAAAACCGCAGGTCATCTCGGGGGGGGGGGGTGCGCACCCTCTGCACCCTCCCCCTAGATCCGCCCCTGGATATGAAAGTGTGCATGATCTTCACAGTAGAATGAACAACCTATTAAAGGGGTTGAAAAAGAGCAAGAAAAAATTCAGGCTTGACCGGGAACGAACCCTGATGCACTTCATACATTTCAATTCATAATAAAAATTATCTAAACTATGCTCCTTGTTAAGATTGCTTAAATGCCTTTAAAAAGTTGAAGGGACGTAGGTTAGTTGTGAGGATTTCATGTAAGTAAAAGTGCCCATGTAGTGTTTTTAGTGTTTTTGTACCCTTTAGAAACGTCTTGTATATTTATATTATAAATAAAAAGCTGAAGCATTTAGCTATGGTTTAACTAAATTAGGCAAAGCATTTTTGCTTTCTGTTGCACGTTGGTGATAACTGGTGTACTTTAGTGATTTTTTGGTGGTTCATTTGACAGTTATAAGGTTTTTTGTTCAAAAGTCGGTGCTTTTTGGTAACGGTTAACTTACATTTGGAACGTTGTATTTGTCGTCCTCAGCTTAAAACTCCAGTGTTTAGCTTGTGCCAAAGCTCCACATGTGGCTACAATTACCTGAGAGTCGGGGGCAGAGATGGCCGCCTGCACATGCTGGATACAACTGCCGATAGATTTGAGGAACTAACAGTGAGTTGAAAGATTCCTTGGGGCGTTTATTAGGAGATTCAAAAGTAGGACTAAAAAAAGGACTCTATCCGACAACAAACCATAACGGGCAAAACAACTGGAACATCTTTTGCCATCCTATACAACTGCGACATAATAACGACGACGAATCTACCTTTCCTTTCCGAACCTTTATGCAGTACCTAAAAATTCATTTCCTGGAAAATCCAACTACACTTTTTCGAACTGGACTCACATAAATACCCAGCAAACTTAGTATTTCATTTCATTTCGTTTCATTTATTGGTTTATTCAGATATTTACAATTTTATTTTATCAGGCGACCTTTTGTGCAGTCGAATAACTAGAGGGCACATCTAATTTAACTAGAGAAAATAAAATTCATCGTTGGATGTCTACCACCTTCATAAAATGTCCCAACTGGAAATTACACGTTTTAGTTCGCAGAGGATAACAACTTGGAAATGTACTAAACAGTGCCGGATCCACACCTTGAGATAAGGGGGACCCGCTCATCTAGACCCTTAGATAAGGGGGCGGGGGGGAGGTGGCAGTCTCCAAAAAAAAAAATTTCGGTCCTTCGGGCCTCAGTTTGGTCTAAAAATAAAGGGGGGACGGGCCCCCTGGGCCCCTCCCCTGTATCTGCCACTGCTAAAGAGAGTGATGCAGGGGCAAATTTGTTATGTCCGTCACAATCTGATTCTGGGAGTCTTTAAATATTTACATGTGGTGCGATACTTGAATGATGTGAGAAGGTTTTTATTCAACAACATGTGTATAAGAGAGACAGGGAGCTTCTTATATGTGGCTGATTGTTTGTTCACTGTTTTTAGCCCAGTATAGAACTAGGACAGGAATCAAATGGAAAAATCTCTGGAATCTGCCATTACGGCGGTGCAGTTGTTGCTTGTTCAACTGACAAAAGTATTAAGGTATGACATATTAAAGTGGCTCTGTCATGGCTGTTTACTTTGTTTTTGAGCGACTCACGTCAACCGGGAGTGAAGCAATCTCCCTTTTAATGTGCCTTGAAGCAACAAAAGTTGTGTGCTTAAGTGCCTTTAAAGGAGCTGTGTCACAAAATTCAGCTAAATTAGGAAATTACAAAATGCCCGTTAAATTAAGAGAAACATAAAAATAACCGCTTAAAACTTTAAAGGAAGGTTAAAATAACATAACAGAAATAACAGATGCCACGGATGGGCACAACTGAAGAAGATTGAAAACGAATTGAAATTAGGGTTTTTGAAAACTGTTCAGCCTAACAGTTTTTCAAAGTTGATCCCTGCTGCTTACAACTTCAAAAATAATGCTCAGGAGATATATTTGTTTGAGTCGGATCTCTGATTTTGTCAATTACATGTAATTTCTTTGCTTACATGTACTTTAAGTTCCATAGCAATTGAGGGCGAGTAATTGGGAAATGAACTGGACTGCCGTGACACAGCCCCTTTAAGGTCCCTAATATTAACCATTGGAATGTGGGATTCAAGTTCCACTGACAAAGTATCTGGAATCCAGGACCTAGATTCCGGAATCCACAATCCAAGACTGTCTTGGATTACTACATACAGTGAAACCTCTATTAAGCGGATTCCCAATTAAGTTGACACCGTCTATTAAGCTGACACTAAGCCAGGTCCCGCAATTAACGACGTATACTTCTCTTTATAACGAACCCTATTCAGCGACACCTCTATTAAGCGGACACAGACACTAAGATAAGTTTTATTTGGCTAATTTCTATTGTTAAAAACCTCTTTCAAGCGGACACCGGACTGAATTGACGATAGTAGTATTGGATTACGTCCTTGAAATACGGACTGAAGTCAGTTAATGTTTTTGCATTTACAAACAAATTAAAGTTGGTAATGAAAGGTGATGAACTTGAACTCTGGATAGCTTCTTTAACAACATGCAACTTTATCACAGTACAGAGTAACCGTTCGATGTTGATCCGTAACAAACATTGCACAATTTTTACAACCTCTATTAAGCGGACACTTAGGAAGGTCCCGAAGGTGTCTGCTTAATAGAGGTTTCACTGTGTCTTACATGGGGAAAACTGTCATACGATGTCTGGTAAAATGACAGGGATGTTAGAAAACTGAATAAAGTTTTGATATCTCAGTGCATCGCCCAGTTTCCCTTAATGTGTCTCTATCTTAACTCCCCCTCACAGAATGTCAAGTCAACGAGCCGCCAGGAGAAACGATTGTGTATGTCTCGGTGTTAAATCGTGCCGAAGAGTAGATCACTTTACATGCAACTCAAAGAGGGTGTTGTTTGTGGCGGAGTGTAGTACTCATCTTAATGATCGTCGACCACTAATATCTGTTGCTAACTTTTGTCCGTTTATTGGTGTCTGTTCTGCAGGTATTGGAACCCTCCCGTGTTCTCTCTGTTATTCATACATTTGACTGTCATACCGGAGAAGTGACAGCGGTAAGTAAAAGTTTCTTCGATAGTTCGGCCATTTTGTACGTTGTCGTACAACTCTCCTCCGTCCTCGTCGGAAGAAGCGTTGCATGACGACGCCCAGAACTGTGGTGTAGCAGACAACGTAGTCTCTTACGTAGCTGTATCTTTTACGTCATGCACAGCTCCGCACCACACTGCGTGAGAACAAAAACAGCTGCTACATGGGCTTCACTCAGCCTGCGTGCAGACGTTGAAAGGGGAAATGCGGAGGAGGGGAAATCGGGCGCTCTTCACCCCATTCCAGGAGCGCCAGAATTCCCCCCTTCCCCTTTTCCCTTTTGAAGCCTGCCACACAGGCCACGTGATAAAAAGTGGTGCGATGAGAGGTTATAGAAGTCTGCCTCACGTCAATATTGCTAGATCTACTGGATCAAGGACGAGGAATTGCTCAAACAAAAATCCCGCAGGCAAAATAAAAATCCCGTTGTCCCGTAATAATTCACATATTCAGAGCCTACATCGGAGGTTGATGTTGGCTTGTGCTGATAGTATTGAGCACAGAGCGTCGACAGGTACATGCGCGCAAGGTTGAGAAACCCGTCGTATCTTGAAATGTGAAATATGAGTTATTGCGCACATCCTCGCTTCAGCATTTTTTTTTCTTAATCTATTTTCTTGCCTCAGAAAGTTTGTTTAAAAATTATTGTAATTTCCTTTCAGGTAAACAGCGGAGGCTCGGTGTTAGCATCATGTTCAAGTGACCTTACTATTGGGATATGGAGACCCAAAAGTCTGAGGCCCGTGGCGATTATCTGATAACAATGATGCTGGTGGTCTTAATGTTAGCCTGCGTGCAGACGATAACTAAACTCTGATTAGTACCGTCTGCGAAGCAGCGTAGAGATCCTTGTTCTGGACCCCCAACGGACTCAACGAATTACCGGAAGTGCGTTTCGAATTCCCCTTCAACCTGATTGGCGATCACGACAAACAAAACAAAGGCCTTTTTTAACTGGCCAATCGTGGCGCGTACTCAAATCTGGGTACACAGCTGGAAGTCCAGAACAAGGATTTCGGCGCTGTTTCGCAGACGGAGTTAACCAGAGTTTAATTTCGTCTGCGCGCAGGCTATATTAATGTTGGTGTCATGTTCTGATAATTGCGTGCTTGCCTGGATCAATTCTGGCGTAAGGATGTGGCTGACAAGCCCAAACCAAGACTGATGATAACAGTAAAGCAAGTACATGTATGTCGGTCACAAATAACAATGAGCTGGTTTCTGTAGTTGCACTATTAAACTGATGACCAGATTGAGGAAAATGTTGACAGTGTTATTATTGGTGATGATAATAGCGAGTTTACGCAACGAAGACGACGGCGGCATCGAGAACTTAAGCGATAGGTTTAGACAAGCAAAACAACAACTTTGCACGTGCATCACGCTTTTTTTGCACATTTCTCTGCAGTCGTTGCACGACTACAACGTGAAACTGCCTAATTTCACGTTTTGTCGAGGACGGGAGCAAAAGCAGGTCTCAAAATAACGGCCGGTCAACGGACAATGTCCGGCCTGATCGTGGACTTGACCGGTCAAACTCTCGTCTGGCCGGTCATTTTGACCGGTCATCTTTGGATACGAACATTTTATAATATTTTCCATAAGTTGTCGCTTAATGCGTTTTGCTCAGTCTATAACGCTGTAGTGACTTCTTTCTCTTTGGCTTTTTTTTCTTTACTGCTTCGCATTAACGGCTGTAAAGAAAAAAAGGACGTCGCAATAAATTTCATGTCGTCATGTCGTAATTGAAATGTAACAAAGCGAAACAACAACGAACTGCTGGAGTGACGCAACGATGCAGCAGGTGGTACTGTGCTTTCTGCTTGTGCTAAAGGCAATAGTGTGACCGTCTTTGGGAAAAATACACTAACGATAATCTGTTATCCGTTAGAAAACTAAAGGATAGCTAAAAGTTTTGTCCATCTGATAAACTTTCTTTTTCAGCACTCTGCTGAACGTAACTCAGTCCACCTCTGATAAAGGTTATTTTTGTGTCTACTGATGAAGAAGGCTTCTCCACTGGTAAACGATGCTTTTTAATGTCGTTTACTGATGGGGTCGGCGAAAAGGAGAGGAACTCCACCAAAATCAGCCAGTTAAACTTACAAGGTTTATTTTCCTTACTCGCAAGGCGGTTCTACATTCTTCCTGATGTTCCTCTCTTTCTCTATCTATAACTGCTTACCCTTCTTCCTTCAGTTCCTTAGCAGCTCGCTATTTGTTTTTGGTCGTTTATAGTTTATTTTTTCCTCCATTTATTTGTTTTACAAGCCATTTATATTGTATTACAAGATTGAAGAATTAAAGACGCTATTTGTAGAATTAAATATCAGGTTACAAGAATAAATGGAGAGGGCAGGAAATAGTTAAACAAATTACTTGCCCTTTGATTAAATTACAGTTTTATTTAGGTTAAAAGAGAAAAAAAGAGAAAAGTATAAACCCTATAAACTATGAGAAATATATGAGAAATATTCAAAAGAGAGGAAAAAAGAAAAGCACACACACACACACATAAAAAAATGTAACATTTGAGAGTCGGTGTGGCAATGATTAATACTGAGCAAGATAATAGTTGAAAAGTGCTCTTTTAAACAATTTTTTAGTTGTTTTTTCACGTATAGATAAAGCAATATCATTCCAATAATAGCATCCTATGACTGTAGGACAGAATAGACCTTTACAAGGTTAACACCGCCATTTTGCCGGGGGTGCAAAACTACTGGGGCGAGCGCGCGGCCAAACAATAAAATGCAAACGGCTGACTTATCGAGTTGCAATTACCTGCGAAGAAATATCGAAATATCTTAATCTAGGATCAAAACACGTGTACTGAAACTGTTAGTTTGAAATCCTTTTCTATTTCTGCCGCTACCACTCCGGTAGAGCGGCCACAAAATTATTTGTGATGCCTCGACAAGCAGAGGAAGTTCTTGAATACGACGACTTCCTCGGTTGGACTGTTTCCTCGTTAAAGGATTTTCTTTCGCTACGGGGACTCAAGCAAACGGGCAGAAAGTCTGAGCTGATCGCTAGAGCGTTTGGAGCCTACGAACTCAATGTGCCTGTGAAGTTTTCCCAGGAGCAAATTTATCAGCAGATAAAAGAAGAATATTCAAGGAGGCTGACTAAAAATGAAATTAAGAGTGATCCAAACATGTTACCGAGTGACGCTTGGATTGACGACGTAAAGGAATGGCCAGAGGTCGATGATGGCAAATTGTTCAGTTATATTTTGAGGACTAAAGCCGTAGATGTCGACTATATTGGAAAATACAAGGATCAGAAGGCCTATTCTTATTGGATGAGTGGCTTTGTAGACACAGTGTTCTTTGCTAAATGCCCAATTAACAGCAAGCATGTGTTCTTGAAAGGCTCTGTATCCCCTTCACAAAAAATTCGTGATGACCCGCATAAGGTCTGGGTTTGTTTAGAGGGCACAAAAAGTGAATGCAAAATCTTAACCTCTTGGTGTACATGTACAGCAGGTACTGGTGAAGTTTGCAATCATGTTATAGCTTTGCTATATAAAGTAAATTTTGCACACAAGAAAGCTTACATATCTCCTGCATGTACAAGCGTTCCACAAGGATGGAACAAAGGAACTAGAAAGGATGTAGCTCCAACTCAAATAAAAAACCTTGTCTTTCGTAAAGACAAAAAGACTCGGGAGGACAGTCCCAAAGAACAGGCAGCCAATTTAACTTTAAAGAACAACTTTGACCCACGAAAGCCCCAGGATAGGCAGCTGACCAATGAAAGGGTGTCAGCTCTTATCAATGGAGTAATTGAGAATGTCCCATCTGCTTGTTTACTTCACTCTATCGAGCACACTAAAGATGACGGCCTACCCGAACCTCTTCCTCAGAGAGCCCTTAGCTTCATGTCATCCCAAGAAATGAAAGGAAAACCATTGGAACATACCGCTCCACTCTTTTTAAAAGAATGTCAGATGACGAGTGACCAAGTGAAAAGGGTGGAAACTGAAACTCGTGGCCAGAGTAACAATGACTCTTGGCATCAACAAAGAGTTGGGAGAGTGACTGCGTCAAATTTTCACAAATTTCACACCAAGGCTCAAACAATCATCAACAGAAAAAGTGACAATGACAAAAAACCCATTTACAGTTCAGCTACTGGGATTTAGGTGTTGCAGGGATGCATTTCTTGTGTCTTCATTCTATTCATTTTGGTCGTTGACCATATGTCTACATATATAATAATGCGTAGGATGTATCTGCCAACAAAAAAGAGCCCGCCACAAAACCCTATCTAGCTAAGTCAATTACTAAAAACGTAGAAATGTCCATTTAAAAGATAACTATCTTCCGAGGGATGTCAAATTTGGAGACAAGATGTCCCATTCTCAAAAAGCACACTGTTAATATTTATGTTTCTGCATGCAAAGCTTATTAGTAAATTGCCTATTCATTACGTTGCATTTTTAAAGGTAAACAGTTAGAATGCTCTAGAACCTTAAAAGCCTATTGATCGGATATTTATCGAACTTTTATTAACTTTCCATATATCTTCAAAATCGGGAAGATAAGTCCTGTAACACATCTAACGTTTCACATCTAACGTTTCACATCTAACGTTTCACATGATCTGCTTGTAAGAGGAATGTGAAAATCAACTTCGACAGAATTTGGGGATTGTCCCTCAAATACAGAGAGCTGAAATAGTTAATCATTACACATAGCAATTGAAAAAGATCAATTAGTGATTATTCAGAGGAATAGTAGGCACAGAGGAACCAGTGTGGGCAAAGAGGAACATTAGGCACGGAGGCAAATCGATCGCAATTCTTACCAGGTCGTCCGGCAGCTGTTTCTCCGGGAATAACTTTTAGCACATCGATTTTATAACAATTTCTTTATGTCGAACATGAATCTCGTTTGCAGACTCGATTCCAGAATAGTCTGATAAAAAAATTTAAGCTAATCGAGAACGAACGTTGTCTATCCCTCATTCTTGTAAAGAGCTTTATGCAAATTTCTGTTGACGTTAATGAGCCCTTCCCGATAAAGTGTTACGCGACGACCCAAACGAAAGCTCTGCTGTATATTTATTGACTTCTGATGATAAACACGCTGTTTGTGGAACGGATTTGCCCCAAATAAACTTCTTTACCGAAAATATTTAGTGTTGTTCTTCTCTGTAGAGGAGACTTTCGATCACGTGCCGGGCAACGAAAAAGATCAAGTTTTACCGATATGCAGATATGGGACGACCCTTGGGGATTTCAGACACCGCCGTACGATGATACTCAAGGTATAACGGACATGAAAACGGGCAAAAACCGCGGAAAGGAACTCAAGAACGTGTGAATGAATTTTTCACCTACTTGCTGCCAAAAAGCTGAATGTGAATGCACTACAACGATCTATTGCCAGCGTAATTCGATATTCCATTAGGCAAAAAATATATATATATATTATAGTATCTTGACCGGCCTAAATTGGGGTTTGTCCGGGCTAAAAAATATTTGGCCGGTCATCAGGACCGGCGACCTGCTGTCCGATATTTTGAGCCCTGAAAAGACAACAACTTTCTTTTTCTTTTCCTGAACTTTGATGCAGTCCTTTAGAATTCAACTCCAAACAAATTTGACGAATGAAACGAGATGGAATAAGCGCGATAAAGTTTGAGGCAGCGCAAATTCACTTTTTAAGTGACGTTTTCGTAGCCGTCGCCGTCGTCGATGCTAAAGCTCCCTAATGATGATGGTGGTGGCGGTCGTGATGATTTTGATGGTGATTTCGTTGGTGATGATGTTGGAAATGATGTTTATGATGATGGTAATAGGAAGCTCAAGCAACGACGTCGGCTGTGAACACGTCGCTAAAAAATTATTGGCGTGCTTTTAAACTTCATCGCATCTATTCTAACCCGCTCAATATGTCAAATGGAGGCGATTTCTCCAGAGGTCAATTTCGTAAGGGCTTTATCCAGGTTCAAAAAGAGGAAGAAAAATTCGCCGTCGTATGTTCACGTCGCCCACAAAACGTCGCGTGAAGAGGTTTTCACGTCGTAGTCGTGCAGTGAACGTCAAAGAAATGTACTAACAAGTGTAATGCACGTGCAGAGCTGTTGTTTTGCTCATAAACCAATTGCTTTTGGACCTTTTCGTTGTCGCCTTCGTCGTGGCTGCTATGACGTTGGCGATAGTGCTGATGATTATGGTCATGATATCAGTCACAGTAAAGATAAGGATTATGAAGCACGACCTTACTTTTTATTTATCTGAAGTGTTGAACGTACATTAGTCATACGAAGCGCACTGTACCAAACTGTAAGTAGCCAAAAAATAAGTGTGTACATGGCGTTATTTAAAAGCTATTTTTTGTAACGACAGAAGCAGAACGGTTGTCAAATACTTGTTTTTAAAATCAATAGGACGATTGCAGGATGACGTCATTTTACTACAATTACCAGAATCCTTGAGTTTGTTGTTTTCTTCTGCAAATTAAGGCTATTGTTCTTTAATCCTCAGCGGGATTGATAAATTTAAATAACAAAGCAAAACCGAAATGAATTCTGGTATTTGTAGTCAAATATCGTCATCGTGCAATTGTCCTATTGTAGGTTGTTGTTGTTGTTTTTTTTTTTTTAAACTAACCTTCGTGGTAAAGTTTATCTTATTAACACAAACTGCAGCGTTATTATACTCAGTCTTGGAAAAAAAATGTTACACAGAAAAAAATCAGTTTCATCAAAACTGAAGCCACTAAAAGTGGGGGAAGTTTCTGTAATTGCTTATAAGTACCATCGCTGCAGCCCACCAAAAATGGGGATGTTGGCGTTACTGGAAAAGCGAGTATCCCTGCCAAGATCAAGCTCGTTTGTTGCGCGTATCACCAAGCCGTTATTAGGTACTCCAGTACTCCAGTCCTTCACCGCATTTGTGACGTCAAACTCCACAAAACCTTTTGGTCGGTGGGGAAAGATAGTGACAGTTCCTTGCTGGGGAGTTGCCTCCGCGTCGGTACCGTCCAGCGCTAGCCATGGGGAAGACCAAGGGATGCCACGTAGGCGCATGGTACTGGTTGTTTGAGATTCGTCCCATGGTTTTTTAACCAGGTGCACTTGCAAATAACGCGAAAATAAAGGGACACTTTTGATAGACATGAAACTTGCTTTGTGCGAGTATTGAAAGTACAGGTACCTTCTGGCTGAAATTACATTTGATGTTGGACATGAACTGGGAAGATCTTCAAACTGGACCAATGAGCGCTTGTTGGGATACTCCGGGTGTTTGGATACTATGAGATATTCCAAACTGTTAAAGTTTTGGCTTCCCCTTTCTAGAGTGACATCTTGAGTCACACTTAGCTTGTGCACTTTGCCGGCGCCTGTGTCAAATGTCATCACACCACGCACAGGAGGAGTTACTAACACCGCCATCAACAAGGCCATAACGCTTACTGCTGATTGTTCCATGCCCTAAACAAAAACATGCAATTTAATGGACAGGGGCAAGGTCTTATATGAGGATATGTGAGAGCCCGGGGGGTACTCCTGGGAATTCGTAGTGGGGGTGTGCCGCCCGGTTATCCAAATCCTGACCCTATTTCAGACAAGAAAGTCATTTTCCACACCCGACAGAACTGACCTCTAAAGTCCACACCCTTTTTCAGACCTGGCCTTAAGGTAGAGACTATTTCATCATTACTTAGAATAGAGCGCAAGCAAAACAATTTCTTCAAATGCATTTCAAATTCGCATATTTCTTTCTTTTTTTTTTTTTCTTATGCATTTGTAATTAAAACGATAAATACGTTCATGCGTTCCCGTAGTTCCCTCTAAAACTCTTAAAGACTATATCCGATTCCAGACCAAAATGGGCAAAGTGGAGTACCCGTTTTCAGACGAAAACGGCCCAAAAACCCTACCCTTTGGGCGTGGCACATACCTATCAAGGAGTACCCTCGGTCAGTAGTGAGAACTAGTCATTGGTTGGAAAGTGGAAAATTAATGCCGCATTTCTGTCATATGTCTTGAATGGTGATATTTATATTATCTATGGCTGCGTAAGCAGGTTACTTAAGCGAAAGACATGAGCTTATATTGCCTCCTTCCGATTGCCCACCTCGTTCTCAAAAGTTATAATTTCTTTTGGCCTCATGATCAATCCTTCATTGAGCAAGCGGAGGGTCAAGATGGGATATTGGCTTTCTTTCCTTTTGTGCGACTCCTCCTCCGGAATTATGTTTTCTAGTTTACATTCACTGTGCACTAAACATTCTTCAAAGTGTGCTGATGCCTCAAAACAATGTCAAATCTTCTTCCTTATTTTAATATCTCCAGGTGGAAAAACCCAAACACCCTAGACGAATCATTGAAATCGAGACGAATCATTGAAATCGAGACGAATAGACGCTTCGTTTAGTCAGTATAGCTTCAAGCATTTGCAGCTATAGTTAGCTTGTGTAAGTCTAAATATGGAAACACAATAGCTTCGCAACTTACCAGAAGTAAAATCAGGGAATAAGACTTCGATCCTGTTTTACACTGCGACTAGTCCGTTTTACTACTTATGAATGCAGATACATTGACGCCACATTGATTTTCTTCATCAGCAATGACGTGATCCAATTCAGCGTTTTTGACAGCATTATATTGAAGACATTCCACATAGGGGAGCTTAGCCAACAGGAATCGTCGAAAGGCGGTTCTAACTAGGCTGCCAAGGGGCGCCTTTTTTGCGAGGGGAGGGGCTGCCTGTTCACACTCAGGCCACCAAATAACCTCGTCGCCGGCCATTGTGTGACAGAATCTCATGTGAGAGTGAAACAAACTCATTTGAACATTGTACCCGTTCGGAAGACTTTCGTAACAAGAAAAATGAATACCATTTTTAAGTTGGGGCTGTATAGTAAATTTTAAATTCCACCATTACCAATAAAAATAAGCAAGTTAGCCATTCTAAGCAGGAAACGATTAGCATTATTCTAACGCACCCCTGCCCCAATCCCTCTGTCCGCCAAAGTACAGCGTGATAGTATAATGTCACTAATTTGACCTAACCAGAAATTCCCAAAAGTATTGTCGTTCATAAAACGCGACAGGGTCAGCTATACTGTTAACCAGCATTACATTTCTCAATTAATTCTGGACAAAGCAAATTACAATAAGGTTTGTTTTTGTCTCATATTGCGTTTATAGCCTTTCTGCCTGTATATATTTTTGGACGTGACTATCTACAATGAGTACTTTCCTTTCCTGTAAGGAATGACTTTTCACACGCAGAGCAAGAATCGCAATAAGATAAAAAGAGACTTTAAACAGTTTAAAGCGAAGAGAAACCGCGAAAGCGATAGACTGCTAAACAGTCCGTATTTTGCGTATTCAAGAACGCGCGAGCAGTCAAGCAAAAGGTCTGGAACGAGGTTGAAAACAGAGCGAGACTGGGGGGAGACGCTAAAAATAGGGCCGCCGGCCTTGTGAGGCTCGCGCGCTTCGCGCGCGTAAGACTCTTACGCCACACTTTACCCGGATCTCTTTACTGATTTTGAGAAAAAAACCGACTGTTTTGCAGTCTACGAAAGCGACCCATCCTACCATCTTTCGAAGAAGGTACTGAAAAAAAAGTGCGAATGAAATCTTGACTCAGGGAGATTTGCAATCACGTTTGGAAGGAAAGAAACTCATCGAAAGGTTTAACTTCAAAAAGAAGTGAAGAAAAAACCCAAAAGGTGCTCATCCTAGCATCTTTTCAACGAGACGATGAAAAAGCGCAGTGTTCATAGTGTTCATTTTCTCGACATAAATCCCGGAATACCGGGGGTGGGGGGAGGGGTACTCCCTTACATTAACTTTATAGTTATTGCTCTGAAATAGTGTCAAGATGTAGACTGCTGGCAGTCTCTTATTTTTCTTTGCAAAGTTACTGCACGCGAAACCAAAGCAGGCGAGCGGCAAAGCCGCGAGCCGCTAGAAACGAGGGCTCAATCCCTTATTGTAATAATAACGTCCTGGTTTGCAATCGCGCTGGATGAGATAAGAACTAGACGGATTTTAAGAGAAAAGGCGGACTGCAAGCAGTCTAGTCAAGATTAGGAGAGCCGGACGGCGCACCGCCACTACGACTTCCCAGAAATACCCCCGAGAAGGGAACGTATTTTATAAACAGGGCTCTCCACGTGCACCGGCAGCCCAGTGAAAAAGAAAACGATACTCACTGTTTACAAACACTATATTTTTTCAGAATGAAACAAAAGAATCTTTAGTTTCAAGAAGCAATACACTTGTGGTTGGCACATGATTAGGGAGTTCACGCAACCATGACGGCGAAGGCTAGGACAACATCTAAAAAGTATTTTATATTAGGGTTTTCGCATGACGTCAAGTCTGCCATATTGGTGTCCATATACAATAAAACGGTTGCAAAAATAACGTCTGCTAACGGAGCAAAGTGGACGAAAGACAACTTGGGTACCCGGCGCGTGAACAAAGCGCCATTTTGTACCCGTGCCCGGGAACTAGTGCCCTGAAGTGTGAACGTACCTTTAGCCTGCGAGCAAGCTCTCCACGAGGTACAGGAGAGGGGAGGGTTCAGAGCGCTCCGGAGAGCTTGCACGCAGGCTTAAGAGTGCTGACCACTGAAAATATAAAGTCCTATCTTTAACTCTTACAGACAAAATATTGTACGAGACGCTTTAACGAATTTATTAGTTTCCGTCTGCTTCAGCCATAGAGATAGCTAGAGTCTATGCTCAGTCTCGGGAAAAAACTGTTTTACAGAAAAGAATTACATCAAAGCTGAAGCCGTACTAACGAAGAATGCGGGAATGAACGCCACCAAAGAACTTTTATGAATGGACCAGCCACCCCCTTGTTTCTGTAATTGCTTATTAGTGCCATCGCTTCCCCTCTCTAGCGTGACATTCTGAGTCACGCTGAGCCTGTTTGTGTCAGGCATCTTCACATCATGTGCCGGAAGAGCTAAGGAGGGGGTGGGATTTTTTTGTTCAAAAGTAGTGCTTGATGTGGGGGAGGGTGTCGTATAAGGCTGCTGTGACGGGTTATATCGCCCGACCTCATCCTTGCAGTGCACCAAAACAAACGCATGCTTTGTAGTATCAGAATTGGCGTTACTGGAAAAGCGTGTATCCCTGCCAAGATGAAGCTCGTTTATTGCGCGAATCACCAAGCCGTTATTAGGTACTCCACTACTCCAGTCTTTCACTGCATTCGTGACGTCAAACTGTACAAAACCTTTGGGTCGTACGGGAAATATAGTGACAGTTCCTTGCTGGGGAGTTGCCTCAGCGTCGGTACCGTTCAGCGCTAGCCACGGAGAAGACCAAGGGAGGCCACGTAGGCGCATAGTACTGGTTGTTTGAGATTCGTTCCATGGTTTTTTAACAAGGTACACTCGCAAATAACGCGGAATGAAAGGGACCCTTTTGATAGAGCTACCACTTGCTTTGTGGGAATAATCATAATGCAGGTACATTTTGGCTGAAATCACATTTGATGATGGACACGAACTGGGAAGATCTTCAAACTGGACCAATGAGCGCTTGTTGGGATATCCTGGGTGTTTGGACACTATGAGATATTCTAACCTGTTAAAGTTCGTGCTTCCCCTCTCTAGAGTGACATCTTGGGACACACTTAGCTTGTAGACTTTACCTGCGCCTGTGTCATACGTTTTCACATCATGTGTAGGAAGAGCTACTATTGTGTGCCCAAAAGTGGAGTTCAATGTGCTAGAACGATTACCATTACTATCACTCGAGTTGGCAGTCGTAAAAGGCTGCTGTGGTGGAGTATATGGCCGGACCTCATCACTGCAATATACCAAAACAAACGCATGCTTTGAAGTATCAGAGTTGGCGTTACTGGAAAAGCGTGTATCCCTACCAGCATCCAGCTCATTTGTTGCGCGTACCACCAAGCCGTTATTAGGCACTCCGCTACTCCAGTCTTTCACCGCATTTGTGACGTCAAACTCCACAAAACCTTTGGGTCGGTAGGGAAATATAGTGACAGTTCCCTGCTGGGGATTTGCCTCCGCGTCGGTGCCGTTGAGCGCTAGCCACGGTGAAGACCAAGGGATCCCACGTAGGCGCACATTACTTGTCGTTTGAGATTCAGCCCATGGTTTTTTAACCAGGTACACTTGCAAATAACGCGGAATAAAAGGGACACTTTTGATAGAACTGAAACTTGCTTTGTGAGAATATTCGTAGTACAGGTACATTTTGGCTGAAAAGACATTTTTTGACGGACATGTAATGGGAAGATTTTCAAACTGGATCAGTGAGCGCTTGTTGGGAAATCCCGGGTGTTTTGAAACTATGAGATATTCCAAACTGTTCCAGTTTATGTTTCCACTCTCCAGGGTGACATCTTGAGTGACGCTTAACCTGTACACTTTACCCGCTCCTGTGTCATACGTCGTTACATCATGTACAGGAGGAGCTGCTGTTGTG